TAACGTCCCTCGTCGAAATTGGATTCTTGGCAAAGTGTCTCATCTCGATCTCTGCATCATTCGCAAAGCAGACAATCGGTAGGCATCGCTCCATTTTAACCTATGCCGTCAACTTCAAATGCGACCGTTCAGTTATCGTCTTCCGGTCGACACGAGAGTCTACCGCGTTGACGTGGAACCTCTGGAGGGCAGACTACCGCGTACCGAACGGGCCGCCACATAACCTGTTTGGTTTTGGAGAAGTATGCAGCAGATTGTTTTTCGACTCACTGCAGACGTTTCAAGCTGCTTTCATCAAAGTCTATTCAATGGCAATTTATGCTTGCTGGAAAGTTGGATTTTTGGCTTTCAGAGCCAAATGCTCTAGAGCTGCGCTTGCGGAGTACATTGACATAAGTTTCTGGTTTTTTGGTGCCGCATTATGCATTTCCTCTTGTTTCTTTCATGAGCGTTCATTGCAATTATTTCTTTTATAACATTATAGTGCATCAAATTTTCTTATAGGAAAACCTCGATTTTGTAATTTTACGGGTATAGCTGAATTTTTGAGTCTGCCAACGTTCTGGCGAAATGTTTTGATTTTCATCTATGTAGCAACAATTGTTGCTCCGGTGGTTTGCGTGCTAGCTCCTTGTGAGGTGGGGACATGTGTTCATAAAAATGCCTCAACCGTCATGCCAATGTATGCTGTACAGTTGTTTTGAACTACCCATGATTCTACTTGTTTCTTTTCTTGAATGTCCTCGTTGTTCACTTAAGTTCGAGTTCATTCTATACGAAATAAATGTTTGTACATGTTTGTACGTCTTTGCAATGAAAAAAGCGAAGGTGGACAGACCTCAAACTTGCAATGGAAGGGATAAATCATTGCGCTGGAGAGTGGCACAAATTTGTAGTAAAATTGAAAAGTTGAACCTTTTCTTTCTTCTCACGCCACGTAATTAGCTGTTAAGGTTCACCGAATCTGTTAAGAATCCAGTGCTATGGATTTAAAAAATGTCAAAATAGGGCTGGAGCCACAATTGCTCTATTCAAGTTAGATGGTTTTAGATT